ATGCAGGGTTTTGGGGAAGAGAGGTGGAGAGCAAGGTCAGCACTCAGCCTTCAGCCTTGACTGTCCTTCCCAGAAATAGCAAGAATTTTTAACCACAAAGAGTAGGACCCAGGCGCAGTTACAGATATCCTCTCTTCCTAGCAGATCTGATTCTCCACTTGGTTCAGGACTTAGCTTTATGTCAGTGCTCTGATACCTGCCCTGAGACGTTACCCCACACCACCTGCTCCTCCACCCTGTGTGTGAACAGCATCCACACCATTGCTGCCTTGCCCCTTCCGCCCAGCACTGAAAACCCAGCTGATGAACTATCACAAGCAAGGGCGTGAGCAGACTCAGAGCAAACGCCTGACATTCGGAACTGGGTGCAAACCTCCCCTTAGCTGAAATGCATTAGCATGGGGGTGCTCCTGAAAGCAAGTGGGAGGGCGAAGCAGTCCTCTAAGTGGGCCTACTGACTACAAGGAGTCGATGCTGGGGAAAGGATCACATGATTTTCCAGAGGCAGAGTTTCCTCCTTGGAGGCCAGGATTTGGAGGGACAGCCATTACCAACCATGGGAGTGTGGCTGATCAAATTAAGGGAGGCGTTTTTAAATTTAATTACATCCTCAGTGGAAATGGTCTCACTAATGCTTGGGGAAAGAATTATACCCAGTCCATAAAGCCTAACATTTCTAAACCCAATTTTGCACATTATTCTAAAGGTTAATTCAAGATCTCTCTTCCAAATGGGAAGTTAAATACAGCCAATGGAAGGAGAGCACCTGCTGACTGACTGAGGGGTTTATCAGCCTGTAAGAGTTCATTAGTTTTAATTAGTGTAATCACTAATGTTGCATTAACAGTTTAGTGAAGGAAAGTAATTACTCACACGTCCACTGTATTAGATGGGAAGATTAGAATTCATTTTCCAAAACGATTAGCATTTTGCCAATTAAAAGAATCCCTTCTCCCTGCCGGCAGCCCTGTGACCTCTCTCACCCAAAGATCGTTTAAATGAAACATATTTTGCATCAGAATATGGAGCAGGAAGAAGTGAAGAATTGAGGCTGTGTTTATTCTTAGCACCTTCTTGGGGCACAGCAAGTGCACAGGCTGGATGAGTTGATAACGTTTCACTCTATTTGCAAAGTCACCCACTTTGGATGATGGCCCCAGCTGCTTTGTTACCTTACAGCAATTAAAAAATGTAAAGGCTAGTGGAAGATAAAGTCAAGAGGAAGCTATGGGAGTGTCTAAGAGGAATTGTCATTGCTAGTGTCCCACAGTTGAGCAGAGAGAGGCTTTGAGGCTGGTCCATCGTAGGTGCCAGCTTAGAGCCGGCGCTGCTGGTGCATACAGGCACACCCGGAAGCACGAACGGTGTCTCCCCCTGATCAGTGAGTGCCATCCTACCGGCTCAGCTTGGCTTACGAGGCCTCGGCAATGTAGTCCAGCTGCCCTCCAGCACAATGGCCTGCCTCTTTTCCATCTCCACCGTGTCTTCCAGCTAACAGCCACTTGGAACTTGTCGTTTCTTAAACATCCCATGTTCTTTCTTACCTGGCTGCAAACCTGCTCTTCACCCCATGCCTTCAGCAGACGCCTGTTTTGTTAGAGCATTCACCCTTCAACTTTGCCCAGAGTAAATGTCACTTCACACTGACCAGGATAGCTGCCTCCCCAGCTTTGCGCTCTCAGAACCCCCACTGCATCTATATGGCTGCATTCTATTATATTATACCCATAATCTATTACATTACACTGCTCTACACAGTGAGCTCCTGAGGTAGCAGCAAAGACCTTACTCTCTTCAGTATCCCCAGTCACGTGCACGTGCTAGAGGGTTATGCGGTTTTGTGGAACGGCCTGGTACCTGCAGGCCTCTCTCTCCCACCCACGCCCTCCAGCCGCCTCACCGAATCCCAGCGTGGTGGGCCCAGCCTGGTCCGGTGGGCAGACATCACAGAGGAGGGTGCTGAGACGAGCCTGGAGGTGGGCACTCCTACCCCCCTGTGCTCCGCACCCAGCACCGCTTCCAGGGAGGTGGCCCTGCTGAGCGCATCTCTGGGCTCCCTTCTGATTGGTGTCTGCTTGGGTTTAGCCAGCGGGAGGCGCTTGCAGAAGTTTGGAGGAAGGAAAGAGAGGTCAAGGTGTTTACCCTCCACTCTCTCCCTGCTTGGATTTCACCTCTCTGATATCAGCTGCACAGAACAGGATGAGGAAGATGGAAAAATGGGTCTGGAGAAGGCAGGTGGAGAGTAGCTGACCCAGAGACCATTTGTGAGATGGGAATTTCAGGATGTTCTGTTGTCATGAGTCAGCATTGGGCCAGGAGGTCTCCGGGCCAAGGGTAATGTTGGGGTCCCCAGGCCCTTAGGTTGGCCTGTGCTCAGCCCAGAGTGCTGCCCAGGGGCAAAGGTCAGCTGACCAGGACAGGCACGGAGACCGCTAGAAGGACCTGGGAGGGGCCCTTGCACCTGGCTGACAGGCTGTGCGAGCCCTGGGCTTCTTGTACAATCCCAAGGGATAAGAGGGGACCCTCATACTGACTAAATGGTACATGCCACCAGCAGGAAGGTGGGAACTAAGCCAGATTTAATTTGATTTGATTTTTTAAAAGGAAATTGATTTTCTTCTATGAAAAATTAAATATTTATGCAAAAAAAATACCTATTTTCTATGGTGCCCTTACACTTAGCAGATGCTACACACTGGTTAGTACTCTTTCCTATGTTTAACACTAAAGGGTAAGTCAGACTCATCACTAGCAGGATTCTGGAACACAGTCTGATCCCTCATTGGCCTGGTGGGAGTACAGGATGCATGACAGCTGGCTGCCTAGTAGCTGCCGTCCAGGAACAGGGCAGGAACTACTGGGAAGGGCCCTGGAACTCACATTTTGGGTCTGCCGTGTTCCCAGGGGGAGAATGTAATAGTTGGCAACGACTCCACAGCAGAGCCAGTCTGACCCCACTTGCCTCCAGGTCACCCCCACCACAGGTGACCATCCCAGCACACCATGTGGGTTGGTGGGTGGGTGGGCAGATGCATGCCCAAAGGAAAGGGAAGCTCTTCCCCTCTTCCTCCCCCATGGCAACCAGGCAAAATCAGTGCAGGGGATAAAGGATGACAAATTTCCAACTATAAAATGAATTAGCCACAGGAATAGGAAGTAAAACATAGGGAATATAGTTGATAATATGGTGATATCTTCATATGGTAATGGTAACTACACTTATCATGACAGGCATTTTGCAATGTGTATAATTGCTGAATCACTATGTTGTACACCTGAAACCAGTATAATATTGTATATCAACTATACTTCAATTTAAAAAAATAAAAACGGACACCTATCCAGGCCTCCACTGTCAATCACATTCTGAGCCCAGGGAGATAGAAACCGGCAGCCGCCATGGTGAAAGTGAAAGACAGACCTTGTCCCTCCTCGTCTGTGCACTGGGACCAACAGAAGCCGGGTGGCATATGCCCAAAGGCACCTGCAGTCCAGGAAGGGCTTGGGGAGCTCAGGCAGAAGGGGCACTCCACCTGCAGGCACCCCAAAGAAGGGCTGCCACGTGACAGCCTCAGGCCTGGAGTGCCCGCAGAGCTGCCAGCTCCCCTGCACAGCCTAGATCCTGCAGGTTAATTAAAAAAATTGTTAATTCCAACTCTGAAGAATGGAAAGGAGCTGGAGGTGGGGATAACTGGGGAGGGGGCAGAGGGGCTGGGGATGCTGCTTGTTCAGGGTCAGGAGGCGGGAAAGTGACCCCCAGTCTTTTGCTTACAAATTTTGTAACAAGCATGTTATTCCTGTTACTGCAGAAACCTGTTTCTTCAACTGAAAAAATATGAATTGCAGTCCTGGCATTACAGGAAGGACTTTGTGAAAACCACAGTTAATTACGTGCATTCTAATGTTTGTACCACCCACATCATGCAGGGTTTATTTTGCTTACCACTATTCCCCTAGTGCCTGCAGGGTCTGGCCATAGCAGGTGCTCAATAAATGTTTGCTGAACCTGATCAGAAGGTGCTGTCACAGCTCCTGGGGCTTTTGAAGCACACTGTCATGCAGAGCAAAAGGGTGGGAGGGTCTCAGGGTGGAGGCTGCCAGGTGGTGACCCCCGGGAAACTGCTCTGGAGCAGAGAGCCTGGAGCAGGGCAGAAGTGTGCCTGATGGGGTGACGTCCCAGGAGTCACTGGTGAGGCTCCTCCCTGGAAACTGTGGCCCACTGCCCATAGCCCGCTCTCTGTCTCACCAGGTGCCTTAGGAACAGGAGAAGGTCCTAGACAGTATAACCAAGACAGTATTACCAGGAAGCACTAGAAGGACAAATGGGCACTTATTGAAATTGTGTTCTAAAAGTAAGAAGAATGATAAAATAGGGGGAAAAAAATCCATTGACCTCTAGTGCCAGCACAAAAATATCAACAGAATCAAAAAAGAAAACATTTGATTTTTTTTGTTCTTTATGAAGAATTCTCATCATAATGCATGTTATTTAAGGGAGAAATTGCCTATTTGTTTATCTTATTAAAGAATCAGCAAGATATAAATATTGCTTTTTCTTGGACTGAGTTTTCAAAATCTCAGCCACCTAAGGCATCCACTGAGTCCCTTATTTTTTTTTTTAACGTTACTACTAGATTTGTAAGATCTGTTCTTGCAGAAGGAATCATCTAAGGAGCTTCTATTTCTATTTGGACAATGCTTCAGCATTTAAAGTTGGCAAAATATCCAAAACAATCACTTTTGTACCATAAAAATATTTATCAAAAGAGATAATAACAAGTGTTAGCAAGGATGTGGAGAAACTGAAACCCCCTAAGGAGAATGTAACATGGGGCTGCCACTTTGGAAAATGGTCTTGGCAGTTCCCCTCATTTTTTCAGAAAGAAAACTTTCTCTACCTGCACTGGGAAGTCTACTTTTAACCTTTTGGACACCTGGGGAGTCTTGGCCAGGCTGAGACTGGCCTCATGCCCACTAACATTCTTTTCTCTCTCCTTCAGTATGTCTCCAGCCGCCGTGCCATCACTCAGAGCACGCCAGAGCAAGGCAGCTTCCCCCCTCATCACCTCACCCACCACCACCGCCACCACCGGCCCCACTGCCACCTCCATCACCACCGGCCCCACCTCCTCCACCACCAAGAAGCAGGGCTGCACACCGCCCGGGTGACACCCTGCATGTGCCCCTTGTTCTCCTGTCAGTGGGAAGGCCACCTGGAGGTGGTGGTGCCGCACCTGCGCCAGATGCACAGGGTTGACATCCTTCAAGGAGCAGAGATAGTCTTCCTGGCCACGGACATGCACCTCCCCGCGCCAGCCGACTGGATCATCATGCACTCCTGCCTCGGCCACCACTTTCTGCTGGTGCTCAGGAAGCAGGAGAGGCATGAAGGGCACCCCCAGTTCTTTGCCACCATGATGCTGATCGGGACCCCCACCCAGGCCGACTGCTTCAACTATCGCCTGGAGCTCAACAGAAACCATCGGCGCCTCAAATGGGAGGCCACCCCGCGGTCTGTCCTTGAGTGTGTGGACTCAGTGATCACCGACGGGGACTGCCTCGTCCTCAGCACCTCACTAGCCCAGCTCTTCTCTGACAATGGCAGCCTTGCCATCGGAATTGCTATCACTGCCGCAGAGGCCTGTGCCGCAGAAGCCGAGACGTGAAGCGTGAGGCCAGCCAGTGCTCCCACACGGCCACCGCTCCACCGGGAGACGCTGCCTGGGCCTCCTGATCTCCCAAGGCCAGGGCTCCAGACTCCTTTTTATTCTTCTCCCTCCTTCCGTCCTTTCTTTTTCTGTCTCAGGTACTTTGTGGTATTTAGTATTTGTTTGCCATGAGCATTACATTATGTAAACATCTTGTGATTCAAGATCTTGGTGTGATATTTGTCCTGATTTGTTGGTATAGTTTTATAGAACAGTTTTAATCAGAATGGTTATTTCCTGCCACCCCCAATTCCCTTCTCCACTGCTTCCAAAATGAGCAAAAGTCACTGGGACCATGCAGAGTTGCCAGGAGAGTTAGCATCCAAATCATTTCTTCCTTCTCTTTTCGGTCTATTTCAGAGTAAGCTAACTCTGAAATGTGTGAGGATAGCAGGTTGGAGAAGGGGACCTGGTCAGTTCAGAGAGGTAGTTCACACCAAGCAGACACAACTCTGCCACCTCCCAAGGACACGCAGGGGCAGGGCTGAGCTGCAGGACATGAGGAGACGGCATCTCCCCCGAAGTCCCGGGCATGGGGCTGGAGGGACCATCATGGGATAAGCTTGATCCTGGAGCTTAGTGGGTGGGCACATGGTGAGCCCTCTGCTGGCAACCTGCCATGGGCTTGCTCTTGGCCTGGCCCATCTTTTCCTGCTCTGGAATCAAGGTCCTCAAGTGGCAGTGCTTTCTTGAAAACTTCTTGGCGCTTGGTTGAGCTGGTAGTAAAAAAGGATGGATAGGCAAGACAGGGGTGGGCCGGCAGAGAAGCAGCTTTAAAAAACAAAGGATAAAATTAATTTCCCACCTCTGGGAGGGTTTTCTCTGCTCAGAGAGTTTTATTATCAAGTTATAAAATCCATCAATCCTTTCACTAAGGTGGAGCACTTCTGCATTGTGCAAAGAATTTACTTTGCTCTCGATACTTTGTTAAACCAGAACCACAACTCAGCATCAAAGGCATGAAACTTGGACAGTGTTCCTGGGACTCTGGAGGTCAGAGGCCACTCACACACCTGGGAGGGTCCTCTTCCCTGTCCTTGTTTCTCAGACACTCCGAGGGCCCCATTCAGCATGCAAACGGTATCACTGGTCAGCTATGCATTCAGCAGCCTGTGGCAGTGTGAATGGAAAGGCAACAAAAATCCATCTTGCCTCTGTGTAGACTGCTTTCTCTTACTTGTCTCTCTGAACAGTTCAGCCTCTTCTCATGAAAGCCTCTTGGGTATTCGAACAAAGTAAGCATGTTTAGTCAACTTTGTCTCTTCTATTCAAAGGCAAATACCTTTAAGCCTTCCCAGAAAGCCCTCTCCTGCTTCTGCCACTCTTTGTCCCCTTGGCCCCTCTCTGCTGCTGGGAAGCTCAGCACCCAAGCCCTGCCAACACTCATCAGGATCGAGGGGGCCTTTTACCAGCCAGATGGCGTCTGCACCGTTGCCTCACCTTCGTTGTCTTGACCGGACCCTGGCAGTACTTAGTTTCAGGCAGCTTGTCCTGACTGGACATCAGCAATCTTTCCCACCAAAACTAATTTATCCTGAAGCATAACTCCCTCTCCCTGACAACTGGGTAATCCTCCAGCCACCCACGCTGCCAACCCATGCTCTAAGCCCCAGATGGGTGGTGCCAGTGAGCAAATCCCATAACACAGCCCCCTCTAGTCACACAGGAATTGCTGGGACTCTGGGGGCTTTCATTAGGTTAGAGCCCTAAGGGGACCAATAAACATCATGTCCACTGACTGAGTCAAATATCAGGTCCACTGTCCTGAGGAAAGGGTTGTAATCCTTTTGGTCAGTCAGCACATCCCACCAGGGCACCACCTCCCCTGGTGGCCACCCAGGAACAAGCAGAGGCTGGCTGGCCAGCACCAGGAGAGACATGGCTCCGCACCTTACCCACAGGCTGTTCCCCAGAACTTCAGACCTCCTTGCCTCTGAGTCTGAAACCTCTGGAAGCCACATTTCCTCCCCTGGTTTCTGCTATGCAACCAGTTTGAAAACATTTATGTATCATCACAGGTGCCCCCGATAAACAAACTCAACCTCAGTTACCGTTCCCAGGCCTTAGGGCTCCTGCAGACATCACCTCTGCCTTCTTGTGCCAAGTTACCTCAGCAAAACTTGGCCTAACTTCAGGTTGTTATTATTATCACACATGAAACTGTATTATGAACAAGTGATCCCAGATAGGAACTGCTATTTTTGGTTCCTGAAAACTTTTTGCAAAAAGCATAGAAAATGTGTGATTTTCCATCTGTGGTGCTCCCAAGGCCTTCTTCTCTGTATCCACATGTGAAGAATTGAAAAGGAACAAACTAAAAACAATGACCAGGAAACAGAAACTGGTACTAACACAGTGGGCTGTGTGGGGCTTTATGGTCACAAAGGGCTCCCTCATTTGCATCTTAGGTTAATCTTCATCATCATCCTCACTATACTAAAAAAACAGAGGTTTAGAGACATGAAATTACCTTCCCAAGGTCACACATCAAATGCTTGGCTGGACTAGAGCCCAGCCAGCCATCTGCAAACTTGGTGTTCCTGAAACAGGAAGACTGACTCCAGATATTCAGAAATGTTCCTGCCCCATCAGCGGGCTGTGGGCCTGAGGGCCAACTGGGTCTTGGCTCTGGGATACTTGGGGAAGCAAGGAAAGTGAGACTGGAGTGGATTTGCTTTTAGAGGCAAGTCAGCTTGCAGAATTGGTCAACCTGGTAGCAGAGGGTTGGGTGGTGGGGTGGGGAACCAGCCTGTGAGGTTTTTGGTGCCCCTAGACCTCATCAACACTCATGTACTGACTTAATAACTCACCCTCTAAGGAGTATTTGCATTTGAAAGTTGTCCTAGAGAGAGCTGCACCTAACAGCAGAAATGAGTTGCCAGTATTTGAACTTCCACTGTGAGAAAGATTTTTTCAGGAGGTGTAGACATTCCTCCACTTGAGGCTGAGTCTACGTAAGTGGTTCATGCTAAAATAGATGTCAGGTCATGCAAGGACGATTGTCTTTAACAATCTTTCTCTGCATGAACTTGTACCTGAGACAGATCCCATCACTACCTGTGCTACCATGGACATTTTAGAAATGGATCAGGTTAATAATAATAGTATTCATGGCTACCATTTACTGAGGGTTTACTATATGACTCAGTGTGCTAAGTACTTTGAATATAGTATCTCATTTAATCTCAAGAACAACCTTATGACGCAGGTACTATTATTGTACCCACGAGACACTTAAGCTAAGAGAGGTTAGACACTTGTTTAAGGTCACAGCTAGCAAATGGTAGAGTGAGGTCTAGAACCCAGCATGCCTGGCTCTGAAGTCCAGGCTTCTGACCACTGTCAGCTATGTCATTCCTACGAATTCAAGCAGTCAAGGCTCAGGACTCAGTCATCAAGTCCTTTTAGTGCTTCAGTACTAAGTGTGCCTGCCACTTCTCTGCCTCCATCTTTTCCTGACCCCGGACAGTGGTGTACTAGTGCTGCCCTGCATACTGATTGTTAAATGTTTTTTTAGGAATTTTTCAAACTGATTGCTAAGCACAGCCATTATTAAAAGTCAAACCATATAAACTTACAGTTAAATAAGGTATGCTAACAACGAAGGTAATAAATACTCAAAATTCATCACTTCATAATTATTTCTGTACTTTTTTTCTATGCTCTTGAGATTGTTTGCGTCTGTCAATGCTCATGGTGGGCACACTATGTAACGATGTGCCACCAACTCCTTCTTCTGTCCATCATGGTAGTAGGTTGAAATTGGCTGTGGTGGTAGCATTTACAGCATTGAAATTGGCAAATGCTACAAGCAGGATTTTTTCCACCTTAGAGAACTAGTCGCTAAACATTTACCAGCACATCACTGTCTAGACATCTCTGATGCACACAGCAGTATCGGGAAAAGAGACTTTGGAAGGAGAAGCAAGATCTGGTGGCCACACTGAAAGGGATGCAGATGACAGCCAAGTCAGCCAAACAGCAACTTCCTGGGAAAACACTACCTGTTCTGCATAAGGGTCTCTGAGGCCTCTAAGCAGTTCCTAGAGCATTCCCTGCCCTACTCCAGACCCTGCTCTATGGTTGTTAGTGCAGGAAATGCTATCTGATGTCCTTCATGGAAAAATCTTGGCTCCACAAAATCACCTTTCTGGCCACCCCAATCCAGAACAAAAAACCAGTGCTACAAAACTGGAATCTTCTGTTACTTGTTCTTATAGATCATCTTTCTTACCTCTACATGTAAACCAAAGCCTAATCTAAAAAATATTTTACTTTGAAATCAGAGATTGGAAACACCCAACATCTGAGAAGGGCACAGTAAGCAGTGATTTCAAATATCACATAAAATGTATTACCGCGAACGTGGAACCCTAATGTAGCACAAACCTGAGGGACATGAAAGGTAATGTGTTAAGGGAAGTCACCTGAAAAAGGCAGCCCAGCACCTTCTCTCCTGCTATAGTTGTTTCATTTCACTGCAACCTGCCTAGGACCCTGTTTACTATCCACAGCCTACTCAGACCAATACTCTTTTTAAATTGAGGGCATGGTTCCCATTAGGATAAAAGTCACAGGAAACTCCAGGCTGAGTGCCTTTAAGCAGTCAGACTCTTCAAGGTCAATAGTGAATCAGCTACTTTGATTCTAGTGGTTTCAGCGGAAGGGCTGGAAGATGTGAGGCTGGCTTGAAGTTCCTGCTTGGGTCCAGTTCCTGGTGGAAGGGGAAGAGACTGTGGAGTGGACATCAAAGAATTATGCTTGGATTGAAGTTCAGCTACAAATAGCATCACAAGTAGGGTCTCCTAGTAGATTGTTATACCTTCAGATTACTTGTTCTGCAGATTTCCTTCAAGAATTGGTGAGTTCTCCATTGTGTTAACCTGGAGAATGGCCAGCCAAGAAAAACTTCACCGAAAAGAGATCCAAGAGATGTGTTGTAGATAAGCATTGATTTTTCCCCCCAAAATCAGGTTATCACATGGGTTAGAGTTGGTCTTTTCCAATATTGTATGAAAAAATTTTACCTCGAGTACTATACTATAAACATTCTCCCCTCTTTTTAAACCATTTTTTAGATATTCAGATAAAAAAGAGAAAAGAAATTGAGAATCATTTTACTTAGCCTAAATTGATGTATATATAATTTTCTAGCCTTTCTTATGATGTTAAAGACAACAAAAAACAGCAGAGTTAGAATGTACTTTATCTCTACCTGTTTCCATGAAAACTGTCATTAAATTGCATTTGATACTGTTTCCTTGAAATCTTTGGAGTTGTTTTTTGTTGTTTCTGTTGGGTTGCTGCTTATTTTCTCCCCACAGGCTACTGTGCAACTATGAGGGAGCAGAAATAAAATGCTACAAGGGAAAGAGCAATTATCAGAAATTCACCAGCTGCCACATTTGACTTTAGTTTCATTTTTGCCTCCATTTTAAAGTCATAATTGGATGTAAGGAAAAAAAGTGCTACTGAAAGTGAATAAAAGCCCTGGAAGCTAATTTGCCCCCAGAACTATTTCAGCAGATGGTGAGAACAGGGGCCAAAGCCTCTGTTACTGGACTGCAAAGAAAGAGATGGGCCTTCACACCCCCTCTGCCTCCTCCCCCATCCCTGTCTCAGCTCCCGCCTGCCTCTGTCTGACAGCAGTGTCCCTGGAATTCACTTCTGGGCCTATCAGATCAGTTGTCAGGGAGCTTTCATGGTTTAATTCTGTAATTTCAGGCCACTGTTAGTTACTGGCAACATCAGAATTGAGCAAGTTCTAATCCCATTGCCTGTCAATTCATTTTAACCTCTATCTTTTTCCCTACCTCCTTATTCCCAGAACCTGTTTCCTGCTCTCACAAAGGCTTATAAAGGGTGCCTTGAATTGATCTGACTGATCAAAACTGACCACATGGCCACCATGAATATTCATGAGCCAAGCCATGAATAAGAGGACTTTTGAGACCATGTCCACTCTTGGGACAATTCTGCATCCACAGTGTCCCAGATATTCGCCCTTTTCATCAAATTACCCTCAAAGACATGCAGTGCGTGGCTCTGTGCTACAGAGAGACTCCTCTGAAAGAGAGGAGAAAATGACTTGCCTAAGATTCATCAGGGGTGGGAGGCCACACCCCAACCCCACTTTGGGATCCAGGATTTTAGTTTCCAAACCTTAGCATTCTTGAGAATTGTCAGGAGAACTTGATTTCTGGGCCCCAGAGCCAAAGATTCTAATTCAGAAGGTCCAGGGTAGAACCCAGGATTCTGATTTTTAATACTGTCCTCCACAGGATTGTGCTGGGGTACAGCTGACCTTTAGATTCTCACATCCAGAGCTGAACACACTGGTGAGGAAAGGAGCCACAGAGAACAAAGGAGCAGATAAAGTCTCCTGAAGAAGAGAGCTGGTCCTTCCGTAAGAGGGAAAAGGCAGCAAGAGACATTAGAGGAAGTGGCTGTGGTTACATTCTTACGGAGAAGCAGGAATCACCTAAATGGAGTCCAAAAAGAGGGGACTCCCTCTAGTAAGCAGAGAGGAATCAGATAGGAGTTCCCTGTAGCCAAGCATTAGAGGAAACTACTTCTCTTCTTCCATCATTTGGAGATACAAGTGGAGGGCAGTGGGGCCAGAGGGGCCAGAAACATGGCTGTGCAGGCAGAGTGCCAGGGCATGCTGGTGGAGGCTAGCATAGAATGGTCCCTAGGGCTGAGTGTCACGCAGTGACAATCCCTACAGCCTGGTGCCCAGGAAGGGACTGTGTAAATCTTCCAATGAGCACACAGGCAGGGCTCATTCTGTAAATCCCTGCCGGGTTGGGATGATAATTTATATTTAAATCTCTGACCCAACCCTGACAGGGAGTTACCTCACCAATCCCCAGGGAGACATTTATTTACCCTGCAAATCTCCCCAAGATGCCTGAGCAGGGGTCACCATTTCAGGGCCCTCCTTGGGGAATGTGAATTATCAGGCCACTTTCTGCAGCAGCTCAGAGCTAAGCCTCACATAAGCCTTGCCTGTGGGGTAGAGAAAAGGAAATCAGTGAACTAGTTTTGTATTAGCCTAGAGGTAGACAAGATATACTCTGCACATAGTCTGCCAGGTGGCTGCTGGGAAAAGCATCTATTAAGGGTAAAGTTACAGGCCTGGATTATTACCCATCTCAGAGTAACTAAATCCTCAGCTCTCTCTGCCCTTTCCTGTGTTCCAAGAAAACTTTCATTAATAGACAGGAGATAGACACTTCCTAATTTTTAGATTTGACTTGACAGACAATTCTGTGAATTACAGGTTTAAGATACAAAGTGTAATCAAATAGGAAGTCAATCATCCCAAAACATCAAAATGCTTCCAGACCATTCAAAAGGCAAGCCACCTCCCACTTCATGGTCCTGCTTCCTGCTAACAATGACAGAGGTCTAAGTGGGTGGCAAAATGCAAGGAAGCTCTCCTGAATGGTTGTGTCCATTCCCTAAATATCTAGCTCTACATCTTCACCAACCCAGGAAAGTTGCTCCATAAATAAGGAGAATCAGAAAAACCTTTATTACTGGGGCTGGTTTGGAAAAGTGGCCACACTCTGAGAAGGATGCTCAGTTGGGGAATGGGCTCCAGAGGGAAGAGGACAGAGGACAGGCTTGCTTAATAAAATACAGGACAACCAGTGAAATTTGAATTTCAGATAAATGATAGAACAAAAAGTTTTAGTATTTTTTGTGAAGTACAAAAGACATAGTTATACTGAACAAGTATTCATTGTTTATCTGAAATTCACATTTCACTGGGTGTCCTGTATTTTTATAGTATTTGCTGAATCTGGCAAACCTAAGAGGGAATAGTCCATATAGTGCATTCATTTTACTGTTGATGCAGGTTCTATCTGCAGCAAGCACCCAGGAGGGACTGTCCCCCTGTTCCTTGTTAGCTCTGCCCCTAGTGTGGGGAGTCAAGTGTATGGCCAATTCCCTCTGGCCACCTGGCTGATCACACTACCATATCTATGGTGGGCCTGTCTTCTAGGTGGACACTGGTTGAGTGGAATTTCCCTCTGCTTCTTAACAAGACCAGGATGGCTTCAGATTCCTAAGTCTATGGGCAGAGGGAAGCCATGGCAATAAGAAATAGTCCCAAGTCTTTGTGCACCAGTAAGAAGAGTGTTTCTGGACTGAATGTATCGGTGCTTGCCCTCAAAGAACTTCGCAGTGTACTTGAGGAGACAAAAACCTGTGTCAAACAACCATCAAGCCATCTGGCAGTTCCTAAGCAGCATCTCATAGCAGCGGTTAGAGTGGTTTACACATGTCCACAGATTCGGTCAGTAAGAAGACAATGTGCCCAAATGGGTTTAGATAGTTTTTTATTTACCGCCACAGTACACTGTGGTCCAGGTTCCCTGAGCCCCAATTCCAATTGGCCAATACAGTGAGGGCCAGGCATGGCCTGTGCACAGAGTGGGGGTGCATTATAAGAGAAGAACCCTGAGATTAGTAAGCTATGATCTTCTTTGGGGTTGTTAGCAAGTCTGCCCATCCTCCTATAATCATAAAGGCATTTTGAGCTTT